GGCGGCGCGGTCCCTCCGCCCCCGGGAGCCCCGCGGGACGCCGCCCCGCAGCCGGACCCAGCCGCCAGGCCCTGGGTCCCCACCCTTGCCCGGGGCGAAGCGGACAGGGCAGCCGACGAGGGCTCCCCGCGCCTCCCTCAAGGACCTGGCAGTCTCCGGAAGCACCGCGCCACTCACCTCGCTCTTTCCTCCAGCCCCACGGGACGCTCCAGTCCCTGGCGGTCCACGGTCACACCGGCGCTGAGGGACACAGGGACGCCGAACCTCGCGGGCGGAGACGCCCCCTCCCCGCCCGCACTCTGCGCATGTGCGAAGAGGGGGGCGGGCGGGCCCCGCGGCTGGGCCTGGTCGCTAAGAGACCAGGCGGAAAGTTGCGCTCAACGGTAGACCGAAAAGGCAAAGCGTCATGCTATTGGTGGAGAGTAGAGAGGGGGCGGGACTTAAGGGCCTCATTTATTGACCATTGGGTGAAATGACTGTCGATCATCAGGGGGTGGGCGGGGCTGCAATTGGCCCGCGAGAGCGGCCTTAGCAACGGCTGGGGAGCGGTGAGGCTGCGGTTGGTCTGCACGACCCGCGGTTGAGGACTGGGGCTCCCGGCTGAGGGCGCCGGTGGGCGACATGGTGAGTGCGAAACTGTCCTCCTGCTGGGGCGGGGACTGGGCTGAAGCTTCTCTCCGGAGCAAGGGAGGAATTTTGTTTAGTTCCTGAAATTCCTTTTTCGTGATCCTTGAGTGTCATTAATAACCCCTCCTTCGGTCGTCAGAGAGAAGCGCATTGTCCGCGGCTCTAGGGACAGAGGAGCGGATGTCCCTTCATTTTTTCCCCTCATCAACCCATCAACCGCTAACACCAACAGTCTACGATAGGTTCCCTGCTGGTAACAGAAACCGTTAGCCAGAAAAGAATTGAATCCAAAGAGTAAGATGCTAAACCACGTTAGAGGGCCTGGTCTCTAGGAAAGACGTCCTGAATTCTGAAAAACGGACTGGCCGGGAGACCTACGAGCTCTGCCAGAGTTGGGAAGGTGGGGATTGGGAAGGCTGCCACTCTGGTGTACCTGCAGTCCAGGGATCAAGGACCGGCCACTGCCACAACCAGCTCTGAGCACGCGTGAATCTGGCAGCTGCGGACACAGGAACGCGGGGTCCTCTTGCCGTCTCTGTCCCCGCTGCTTCCTACCCCCAAGTTGGGGATGCCATACCGTAACGAGGCTGCAGAAGAGCCCCAGGAGCCACTTGGTGACCTCGCTTGCCTGCAGAAAATGGCAAATAGCAGGATGATGACCTCTACCTTCCCTGGATACTGATAACTGGTCCAACTTTTACCCAGGTCCCGGGAGTAGTTTTTCACCTGGAAAATGTAGGTTTTTGTTTTTGTTTTTTCCTTTTTCAGCCTTTGCAACATAGAAAAGTAGGCTAGAAGGTGGGAAAGGGTATTATGTTCCAATCGAGCATCTCCCACAAAATAAATTTTGATGAGACATTTAGACATAATTCTGACATACATCGACAGTTCTAGCACACCTTTGCCTCTTCTCTCTCTCAAAAGGCACACATTTGAAGGGAAACCTATTGGTAAAAAAAGAACCAGGCTTTCCACCAAGATATTAATAACTAAAGGCACAAATATTAGCCGAGGGAAAGGGGCAAATTGGTGAGCTTCATTATATAGTAGAGAAGCGGATATCTGAATATGCTTATTAGTTCATCATCAATTATTCTGGTAACTTTTCCAGTTACGTAGTTTATCTTTCACCCGCATGTGTATTTATTACAGGCATCCAACTGCCGCACAAGTTCAGACCAATGGAAGAAAAGGGCAGCAAAAGTCGAATTGAATGAAACCCAAAAACAAGAAATTAAAGAGGCCTTTGATTTATTTGATGTTGATGGGTCTGGAACCATAGATGTGAAAGAACTGAAGGTTCTGAAATTACTTTTAATTCTAAAACATTTTTAAAAACCCGTATCATTAACTTAACGCAATCTTTAAATCTTTAATAGTAGCCTTCCGAAACCTTGACATGAAGTCCCTTCACTGCAGGCACCTGCTCCACACTGACAGAACAATATCTTGTTAAGCATTTTATTCTTGTTTCATAAATGAGTTGGCCAAAGCCTAGGGTGTGACAGTGACATACCCTATGGCACAGTAGTCCATAGCAAAAAAAGAATCTAGTAATTAATAGGCAATTTAAAAGCCGGGAATGAGATCGTGGCATATTATAATTTGTTTGGTTTCTATTTTAGGTTGCAATGCGGGCCTTGGGATTTGAACCAAAGAAAGAAGAAATTAAAAAATTGATAGCTGAAATCGACAAAGGAGGAACTGGCGCCATTAGTTTTGAAGACTTTTTCGCCATAATGAGTGTAAAAATGGTATAGTGATGATTCTGTTTTTCAAAGAAATATAAGCAGTAGCCTTCTACATGTTTTGGCTGGGGCTCTCAGAGGTTTCATAGATAAAGAACTGGACCTAGATTTTTAACAATGGCTGGGGTTCAGACATAAGAATAGCAAGATTAAAAACATCAAGATAGTAGTGAAGACTGTATAGTGCGGAGAAGAGGTTTTTGTTAGGAAATAATAGGATATGTGGCTGGATAGAGAGAATGGGGCCACATTTTGAAGCCTGGAATTCTGCAAACATTTATTGAGGGCCTGTTTCTGCCAGGCTCTATTGAGACAACGTCCCTGTTCCCTTGGAGCTTCGTCTTTGTAATGGGTCTCAGTTGCTGGGGTTAATACGAAATACACCCTCTTCACCACCCTGTGCCTCTTCCACTTGTAAACCCTGAGTTTAAATACCTTGAGGGCAGATATGAGTGCACTGGCATAATTTTAAAAGTCAGAGCAGTAAGTAAAGTCAGAGCTCAGCTAACGGTACGTTGTTGCTCTACACCCCAGCTTGATAGAAGAAATAAATGAAAGACTAAAGACATTTAGTTGTTTTTGTTTTTAAAGACTGAAAAGGATGAAAAGGAAGAAATACTGAAGGCTTTCAAATTATTCGATGATGACGATACTGGAAGCATAACATTAAACAATATCAAGAGAGTTGCTAAGGAACTAGGGGAAAATTTAACTGATGATGAGCTTCAGGTATATTTCACTTACTTTTATAACTATAATTTGCATATATGAATATGATTATAATTATTATAATTATAGTCTTTAGGTTATGATGAGCTTCAGGTATATTTCACTTACTTTATAACTATAATTTGCATATATGAATATGATTATAATTTATATAATTTATAGTCTTTAGTTGTATTCATAAATATATTAAAAATAAAATTTTGTCTATGGCCATGCCACCCTGAACATACCCGATCCCGTCTGATCTCGGAAGCTAAGCAGGTTTGGGCCTGGTTAGTACTTGGATGGGAGACCACCTAGGAAGACCAGGTGTTATAGCTGTAAAAAAATAAAATAAAATAAATAAATAAATAAAATTTTGTTTTGAGTATATATTTGAATATTCATTTATATTATTCATTTTTAATAGACTTTTCATATCTTTACATTTTGTTTTACAGGAAATGCTTGATGAAGCTGATCGTGATGGAGATGGAGAAATAAATGAGGAAGAATTTTTGAGAATGATGCAAAAGACCAGTCTTTATTAATATTGTGTTTCTGTTCCTGCTTAGAATTAACAAATTTGTGTTTGTTGTACAGTTCCATAAGATCTGAACATTCATTTTCAATTTTCAGTTTATATGCACCAGTTGGTCTTCATGTCTAATTCATGTGAGAAGTTAAATGTTTCTACTAATATGTTGTTAAATCTACAACATCAAGAAAGAAAATGTAATGACTTCCTTGAACCATGAATCCAAGAACAGTATTAATTTCAACTGCTATTTTTTGAGCCCGGAGTCCAAGGACTTAAGAGTTTCCTTTAAGTTTAATGAAGTTGGCCCACGTGCAAATGAATTTGGCAAACAAGCCATTACCTTCCCTATTATTTTCCTTTTGTACAACGCTTTAAAAACAGATGAACATTTGCTTTTTCTTCAGTTATTCAGATAAATAAAGTATTAAACAAAACTGGTAACTATGTTATTTGCCAATTTTCTTCCTACAAAGAAATTCGAAGCAGCACTGTATCATCCAGATGTCCCTACAAGTTTGACCCTTAAGTTAGCATTTATTTAATACTCTAGGATAGGTGCTAGGAATTTTACTTGTTGTCTCAGTTAATATATTACAACTTGGAAGCTTGTAGTATTCGCTTCATCTGACGACACATGAGAAAAGTTCAGAGAACTTAAATTTAAAAATTGCTCACTTGAGCATAGATACTAAATAAAACATGAATTCTAAATCTTATATCTTTACTCTTTCATTATGCTGCTTCCCTATGGATAAAACCTCTCAGGGAAATTATAATTTCTGACCTATTTAATTGTCTTTATTTTCTATGAAAGAACCAGTCTGTTGGGAAAGGCGGCCTCCTGCTCGCTGTCTTTTGACCCCTACTGTGCTGCATACGAATGGGCCTTGCACCTGGAATACTTCCTTACCAAGAGATGAAGTCCTCACAGTTGTGCTGGCGTTGGCACCCTGTCCGACAGCGTCTCTCTCTGTTTCGCTCAGTGTGTACTTCTTTGTTCTGCTTTAAGCATGTATGTCCTATGGCACCTGGCCAACCCCACTGCTATATCTGTTCTCTTCAGAGAGAGGATGGAGGGGTGGGGGGCGTCCTGCTGCACAACGAGAGAGGCGTGTGCAGGCTAATTGCCCTGGGTGGGCTTCTGGAAGGGGCCTGCTGGCCACGGTCTCCCATGCTCACTGAAGCTGCTCTGGCTGTTCTCCACAAGTAGAGCCCTGCCCATCCCGTCCTTGACTGCAGCGCGTTTCCCCCGGCAACTCTGATACCAAGACACATGGGCAAAGTGCCCAGACCTCCGCTCCAGATGTCAAACTCTTCCTAAACCCAAATAATGGTCTTTTGAGCAATAAAGGATTGCAGATAAGACTTTAATCGTTCCACCAGGTTCATTTTTAGCTCAACTGGAAGACGTAGGTTTTTTCGTATTGAGACAAGATTTTTTTCTGATTGAAGCTACAATGGCATGTGCTCGTGAACATTAAGTATTTCATAGTATCTTTAATTCCTAATTATGTAGTGTTTCTTTCTATATCTACCAAAACTATACTTACTAAACATGCTTCACATGTGAAAATTATGGCCTTTAAGTTAAGATTTATATTTGTAAGAGGGCAATATACTTAAAAATCCACATGAACAAGTTTCAAAGAGTTCTAAATAAAAGTCTCCTTCCCATTCAAGCCCCAGCGACTTATGACTTATTGCAGAGGATGCATATACGTGTGAGTATATTGGTAGAATTCTTACAAGTGAAATAGTTGGGTCAAAAGATAGATGAATTTTAATTTAAACATTTTAAAGTTTGATAGATACTATCCTCCAAATAGATTTTTGCCAAATTATATTCTCAACAATACATGAAAATGCCCATTCTTTAATAAGGTATTACCAAACTTTTTGATTTCTGCCAATCAGACGACTTGCAAATATCTCATTATAGTTTTAATGTTTATTTCTCTTATGACAGGCATTGTCTTTTCATGTTTAGGATGTATATTTTTTCTGTGTTTTGTCTATCCACATTCTTTGCCTAATTTCCTATTGGATTTATTAAAATTTATTAATTTGTAAGAGCTCTTTATATACAAAGGAATTTATTCTTTGCCATATGTGTTGTGTGCATTTTTTGTTATCTTTTGATTTAGATTATGGTTCAGCATTTAAATTTTAAGAAATTTACTTCATGTGATGATTTCTACAGATGTTCAAACTATGTGACAGTCAGATGTCAATGATCTGTTTTTTAACAGTATTCTCACTAGGTTTGTAGGAAATGTAACTTTAATTTGTCTGACCTGAGAAAAAAAGCAAGAAAATCCAATTGAGAAATGTGCAGAAAACCTGAATAGATAATTCTCCAAGGGAGATAGATATTCACATGGCCAACAGATAGATGAAAGGGGGCTCAACATCACTAGTTATAAAGGAGATGCAAATCAAAACCACAATGAGATACCACCTTACACCTGTTAGAATGGCTATGATTAAGAATCTAAAAAAAATGAGGATAGTTTAAGGGGCCTCTGGGACAACATCAAGTGTACCAACATTCATATTATGGGGTATCAGAAGGAGAAGAGAAAGAACTAGGAATTGAAAACCTATTTGAAGAAATAATGACAGAAAACTTCCCTAACCTGGTGAAGGAAATAGACATAGAATCCAGGAAGCACAGAGTCCCTAATAAGATGAACCCAAAGAGGCGTCGTGATTAAAACGACAAAGGTTAAAGACAATCTTAAAAGCAGCAAGAGAAAGGCAGTTAGTTACCAAAAGGAAGCTCCCAAAAGACTATCAGCTGATTTCTCAACAGAAACTTGCAGGCCAGAGGGACTGGCACAAAATATTCTAAGTGATGGAAAGCAAGGACCTACAATTAAGATTACTCTGCCCAGCAAAGCTATCATTTAGAATTGAAAAACAGATAAAGAGCTTCCCAGACAAGAAAAAGCCAAATGAGTTCATCACCACCAAGCCAGTATTACAGGAAATGTTGGAGGAATTTTAAGAAGAAGAAGGAAAAAAAGATAAATATGTGAATAATAAAATGGCAATAACTATACATCAATCAACAATTACTTTAAATGTAAATAGATTAAATGCAGCAATTAAAAGACATACAGTAGCTAAATGGATAAGAAAATAAGACCCTTACATGTGCTGCCTACAAAAGACTCACTTTAGATTGAAAGACATACACAGATTTTAAAGTAAAAGGATAGAAAAATTATTCCATGAAAATGGAAACAAACAAACAAACAAAAGACAACGAAAATCTGGGGAGCAATACTTATACCAGACAAAATAGACTTTAAAACAAAGGCTATAACAAGAGACAAAGAGGGACCCCGCAATCCCACTTCTGGGTATTTATCCAAAGAAACCCAAAACACTACTTGGAAGGGACATATGCATCTATATGTTCATTGCAGCATTATTCACAATAGCCAAGATTTGGAAGCAATCTAAGTGTGCATCTAGAGATGAATGGATGAAGAAGAGGTGGTGCATACATACAATGGAATATTACTCAGCCATAAAAGAGAATGAACTCTTGCCACCTGCAACAACATGGACGGACCTAGAGGGTATTCAGTTGAGTAAATCAGACAGAGAAAGACGAATGTCATATGATCTCATGTACATGTGGACTCTAAAGGACAAAACAAAACAGAACACAAACTCACAGATACAGAGAACAGTTTGATGGTTGCCAGATGGGGGTTGGGGATGAGTAAAAAGGGGAAGAGATTAAGATGAAAATCTTCAGTTATAAAAACAGCCATGGATATAAAGTATAGGGAATATAGTCGATAACATTATAATGATTATGTATGGAGCTAGACGGATGTTGGGCATCGTGGTGATCACTTCATATATATATAATTGTCTAATCACTATGTTGTACACTTGAAACCAATATAATATTGTATGCCAACTCTAATTGAAAATTTTAAAAAATTATTTAAAAGAAATGGCTATTACCAACAAGACAAGAAGCAAGCATTGGAGTGAATGGAGAGAGGAGGCCTCACTCACTCCCAGGATACAAAATGGGTGTCTTGACTGAACGCCCAGGGAACTTGCCGCGTCCCCTGCCCCCTTCAGCTTGCCTTGAATTCAAATTTCGACCTTTGCAGCACTGCCTGGCTGCCTACATGAGCTTCCGCTCCGTTCTTTGTTCTCTCTGGCGCTGTCTGCTGCATCCCCCGGCCGCGTCACTCAGGGGTTAGCCCGTGTCACAGGGCGGAGGGCAGCTGGACGGTTTTCTCATTTCACTTCGCCTTGGATCCCTGCTCTCTATAAATTTTCCTCTCGAGTTCTAGACACTTAGGCAGCCCCCGAATTCCAGCCTGTTTCTCCTCGGGAGGAGCTGTGGTGCGCGTGGGACGCCCCCCGCCCTCCCCAGGGCCCTGTTCTCCCAAGTCCTGCCTGAACCGGGCGCTCCCAGTTCCTTCGCACGGCTGTTTCATATATTAGCTTTTATAGTTGTTTTCATCAGGGAAACTAGTTCATCATATCCTGAACCACAAAGGTCAACCTTATTTTTAGGAAGACAAATCTGACTGATGACAGTGAATTGGAATTGGGAGGGACTGCTGGCTGGAAGGCCAGCTATGAGGTGACCGCCACCACTTAAACAAGGGATGGGGAGGGCCTGACTAATGAAAAGCTGTTTGGTTTGAAAAAAAGAGGTTGGGTTCGAATCTTTCATTCATGCTAGCTTGCTCTTACGCACAGGGCTCTGGTGAAACAGCAATGTTAAGTAACAGTTGTCAGGCGCTTACTATGTGTTAGGCACTGGTCTACCTCCTTCACCTGGATTTTTGTATTTAAGTCCTGTGCCTACTGGATACTATTATCATCGTTCTGACTTTATGGGTGAGGAAACAGACGCAGACAGTTTAAGGGACCAGCTCGACTTCACGGAGACACCGGACTTCGAGTCAGGCCCGCTGACTCCACCCTTGACTGCGCTCATCACTCCTCGTCAGGTGCCATCTTTACATGGGAGGCTGGTGGCCTATATTCTCAGAGGGAGAGACGCAGAAAAGTGAATCCAGTGGTTATTTCTGTCGTTGTTCGGGAAAATGAGTGAAGTCACACATCAGGAGAGCGATAAGTCTGGAGAAGTGAAATTTAAAAAAAAAAAAAAGATAATTTTTTAAAAAAAGGAATAGATTTAAGTCTTTGTAAGTTCAATAGTAGAGAGTCATGGTGTGGCCAAGAGAAGGCAGGCAAGACAAGCAAATTAACTTGGAAGATCAGAGACTCACGATAGTGATAAAATTTATTACTTGATATTTTATACGTGGCCATTACCCTCCAAATCATTTTACACTGCTTTCTTGGGGATGGCTCATTTGACCAAATAATTTCAAGCGCAAGTTTAAGTATTCGGTAAATGAAGGAAAGAGGGAAGCTCGCTGAAGTTAGTGGGC